ACAATACGCTTGTTTCTTATTCCATAAAAAAAAAGAATGTCAAGTTACTGATTCACATTTGTCAAGGGAGATTGAACCAGTCATGAGGAATAACGTAAGATTCAAAGTTAATAAGTTATCTTATACATGTACAACTCTATGTACAAATTCAGGGTTCGTCGCACTCCCCCACTTCCACCGCCAGGAACCACAGTAATCAAGAAAACTACCGTATACCTAGCGCCAAGGGTTCGTCACTGGTTCCAACGTCCACTGCCGAATCGCCCACCTCCACCTATGCAACCAAATAGACCTCCTCCACTACCACCTCAGCCTAAAGCGGCGTGGTGGGAATATGCTAAGTATTACCAGTCTCCCCATCAGGAGTGCGTGACATGTGCCGTCATTCCTGCTGGATCTAGTGGCAAGTAATTTCAGCTGCAACATATTGTGAAGCTTTGTCCAATATCAACTTTGTCTATAAATTGCAATGAAAATAAACCTTTGGTTTAACTCTCTGAATATTATATTTTTGAGTAAGTCAAACTACATTGGCCTGGCCAGAAAGCCTGTAATTCCTTTTCACTATTGAAGAAGACGAACATATAAAAGTTAGGTATAATAAACCTCCATCAACAAATCTGTGGCTCGACACATTACCGAATGACATCAAACTAAGATATTTATGTTTTGTTGGAAGCAATCTGAACGATGAAAGAAAAAATCAATAAAATCTGTGAAGGATATAAAAGGATACACTTCAAAGTTCTGAAAAATTGCAACGTATGCGTGCAATACTAGATAGATGCGGTCTCCCGCAGGCTTATTATATGATTTGGCACCATTGTGAAACTGGGATATGCGATAGCCCTTAAACATAAGGTGCCATATCTAAATAAAGATGTTGTAGAGATATGTTCGAAGAATAGAGAGTGATTACTCACATCTTGTGACTTTATAGCAGAACTATAAAAGGTAGCCGAAGTGAAACCGGGAAATATATGCGTAGAAATAGGACTGGAAGATAGTTAACTATCCTAGGCACTGAATGCTGAGCTTGAAAATTCACATCAATAGAAAGCTGCTAATAAAGTTAAGATGAAATAGGTAAGGCTAATAAGAAGATCTGGGAATAACTCGTTTTTGTACTTATATTAATGATTGTTAGATAAAACAACTAGACTAATCTTGTTCTTATCTGTGTCCCACTCAAGTCTAAGACACATGACCATCAACGAGTATATATATATATATTGATTGAAAAATGGTAAAATATGGTGGATATATCCCATCTTAGTGCAAATTTGATTCTGTTGTTGGTATAGGTT